GGAAGGAAGGAAGGAAGGAAGGAAGGAAGGAAGGAAGGAAGGAAGGAAGGAAGGAACTCAGATTGCATCCAGTACTGGTGGCCTCCAGATGTATTTACAGAACCACCATTTCTGGAGAGCATCATATTAGGGAACAGTAGTTACTTCAGCTGCAGGCCAGCGAGTTGCAGTACTTAATAATTCACACACAGATATTCAGCTGCATGTTCTCTTTGTTAAAGGATCTTTAAGAGCAGGGAAAAGAAGAGAAAGAAAGAGCCTCGAAAGTCAAGCAAGAATTTGATTGTGGTGGTGGGCAGGATATGGGAAGAGAAAGGGATACCCAGACAATAACCAAGAAGTCCACATCCCATGTTGCAGAAGAAGACCAAGGATCCTTTCCTCTCAGTTCAAAGGTGGTAAGAGCAACCTGGTGAGACCTAAGGGCTCCTACAATGCCTCCTGCTTACAACATTGGTTCAACTGCCCTCTCCTGGACTCTGAGGTTACAACAGGCAGAGGTTTACATCATTTGCCCTCCTCCGATGTGGCTGAGCTTCAACTAGTCTCAGAGCCAACTAGCATGACGAACGGTGAGGGACGCCAGGAGATGCGCTCCAGCAACATATGGGAGGCCAGACGTTGCTCACCTCTCCAAATATCCTCTTGTCTCCTCTCCTTGAAGACACTAGTGTGTAGTTCAGTAAGCTTATCTAGCAATGTTCTGGTCAATATCTGTTCACCTGTCTTTTACACAAAACAGTACCACACTGCTGGAGAGTCACCTTAAGGGCCTGGTTAGTACAACCTACTCAGTCAGAGTGTGGTTTGTCTGGTTGTGCCTTACTGTGACGTGTGTCACCTTGGTACGGGAAGTATCTGCATCAGTCCTGGGCAAACGTCTCTTTTCTTGGAGAGGAGAGTTTTGAGAGTCCCGGAAGTGGCCTATGACTTGAGAACAGCCCATTTAGAACTTAGACTTTTTTTTTTGCATCAGAATATTTTGCACAATTCTGTTTATGAACCGTGGTGCATAGCCCAATGCAGCCTGCAAATTTAACAAGTTGTAGCTATTTGTAGAGTCCCCCATTGGGGGGAGATGGGCGGGGATATGTTTGATAAATAAATAAATAAATTTCAATAATCCATAGTTGAACAAACCATAATGAGGTCTCCAACAATTGCCAAACTACAATTCCCAGCAGCCCCAGTCAGATGGCAACAAGAAGGGATGCTGGGAGGTCAACTGAAGATCATTATGAACCAGGTTTAGCACAACATACCAACTCAAACGCAGTTGTGGGGAGGAGAGAGAGACAAAGCGTCTTTCTGCCAACAGTCACTGTCTGGCTGCACGCACTGCACTGAGCCTGGTTTGTTTTAACCACGGAAGGGTGAAGAAGCTACATTAGCTATGTTCCTCCATAAATCTGTGCCACTATGAAACAAGGCCCATCCTGGCTTAGCATGGTGGATGACCCTAATCTTTGTGTACTCCCAGGCTGTCACCAGCACCATACCTGGTGAGCGCAGCGCCGAGGCGGGGGGCTTGGAATATCGACTTTAGCCCAGCTGTTCTTCCGGATGTTGTAAACGAAGAGCTCGTTGTAGAGGATCGTCTAAGGGAGACATCAAATGAAGGAGGAGGGCTTTGCTAGAAACGGAGATCATCCAGGGAAGGCCCATCTTATTGCACATCCCTTAGGCTTGAGATCTCAAAACAACAACCCAGCCACCGTTTCTATCTTTGCCACCGTGAAAATGAGGTTACAGTTCACAAAATTCCTTGGGCTACGTTGGGTGCTTCAGCCTCCAGATCAACCCATGGTGCCAGGTCAGCCTTAAACAGACCCTTATTCTAACAATGCAGTGGCACGTTCTCCAAAGCTGCCGCTGATTTAGGCCATGATTCTGAGGGCCACTTCCTCCCCTACTTCAGAGGAGAAGAGGGGGTATCCAAGGGACCAGAATTCAGAAGGAGGACACAACCAAGAGAGTCATTCCTTCATCCGTGGTCCTCCAGGTAGCTGGGGTTCCACCCTTGTTGAAGATCAGAGCAGGATGGGGCATCAGCCCTCCGACTGTTCCAGTCCCACAAGAATACAGTGTTGGGTGTTTGGAGCAGAAGGAGAGAAGGAAGACTGAGGCTCCATCTTGAGGCCACTCCGATTCACGGCCGTCAGCCCATTTCTACCTATTAGTTACGTGCTGTCTGAGGAAGTTCTCCCACATCTGCTTTACATTTCCTGCCAAGTAACTTCACTGATTTGACCACGCAATCAAACGCTACGAGAGACAGAGGGAAATACATTTTTCCTCCCTAGAAGCCTTATTGGTATTGACTGAATTATATCTCTTTTTTTTCTTTTCTGCTCAGAGAAGCACTCAAGGCAGGTGACAGGGTGGAAACACATAACATTAGAAATGAAAAACGGAGGGCTACTAATATTAAATCCGTTCAGTCAACTGATTTTAGTGAAACCCCTGCAACCTCTCCGTTGTTTTATTTTCCCCTGGATAAATATCACAGCTCCCCCAACCAAAAAATGCCGCAACCCCCCCCCCCCACCTTCAAATTTGCTTGCCTCCTTCACCTTTT